AACACCTCACTTGAATTTGACACCAAACAAGACTGAATTCCCATTTCTTCTGTCTCCCTGGCCTGTGTTATTCTGGTCTGTACCACCCACATCTCTCTCAGCTTCCTTCCTTCCTTACCTGTCTCCCAGGCCACTGCTATTCACAGGTACTATGGCCTGGAGTAGAGGACAGTGGACAGGTCTGGTTCTCAGTCTTCGTCCTGCCGCTTCCTGGGTGTTTGGCTGGGTGCACATTTAATATTGGGGGCCAGGGAGGGTGGTTTGCTGGAGAGATGGCTCATGGTTAAGAACACTGGCTACTCCTGCTGAGAACCCAGACTGGAGTCCTAGCATCCATATGGCATCTCACAATTGTCTATAACTCTAGTTCCAGAGGATCCTCTGCAGGTACCAGGCATGCACATGGTACACAGACAGACATGCAGAACAAAACGCCTATGCACATAAAATATTTAAGTCTGAGTTTTGGTTGCCTATTTATAAAATGAAAACAATCTCTACCTTATCGGGTTGCTGTGGGAATTAAATAAGTCACTTAGAAGAAATCACACTTAACATGTACTGAAAACAGGAAGCCATGATGCTGTCTTGCTGCGCCAGGATACTTTCTCCCTTACTTCCACCCCCACTACTCTCTGTAGCCAACCTCTTTGGTTTCTCTGTTCATTTGGACTCACTGGATGCCCTATCCCCTCTGCCTGGATCTCTAACCTTGGCCTATTACCTCAGGGCTTGTCAGTGCCAGGCTGGCTCTATTATTGGCAGGTTGGCCCACAATAGCACCCATGTTCCCTGACCCTCCCTGCCGATGCTGTGTGCTCTGATGACATCACTCAATTGTGCCCCTCCAGCCCCTGATGTTATACCCTGCTCTTGTGGCTTAGAAGAACTTAGATCTATTTGAAATAGATGAAGAAAAAAAAATACCCACACCCAGAGCTCAGTGAGATGGCTCAGTGGGTAAAGGTACTTGCCTGATGACCTGAGCTTGAAGCTAAACTCTGTAGGGGCGTAAAGGACCGGCAAATAGGATTAATCAGGCTAGCTTTAATATCAGCTTTATTAAGGGGAAGAAGGGGAGAGCTTACAAAACCAGGGTTCCAGCGACGAGCAAGAAATAAAAAGGGACCAGCAGGGCTCATGCCCACCAGATTTATATGTAAACATTATCCCAAGGCGAACACGCCCCCTTGGGCTGGGCTTCCCCTACAAAACTCCACATAGTTAAAGGAAGGAAAAGACCTTCACAGAGGCACAATGACACAACCACACACAAAAATATAAAGTGTGGGCTGGAGAGATTTAACTCAAAGGTTAAAAACACTGCCTGCTCTTCTAAAGGGCCTGAGTTTAATTCCTAGCAACCATGCTGGCTCACAACCATCTATGATGAGATCTGGTGCCCTCTTCTGGCTTGCAGGCATACATGCAGGCAGAACACTGTATATATAATAAATAAATAAATCTTAAAAAAATAATATATATAAGTGTAGTTTTAAAAAAAAGGGAACACTAAAGTGACTTTATCAGGCTTGCTGTGTCTTCCCAGGCTTCTTTGCTCCTCGCTCCTCTATACCCTAAACACTAGTGTTTTCAATTCTTATTGATTTTTGGCTTTTTGAGACTGAGTCTCTGTGTAGTCCTACTGTCCTGGAGCTCACTATGTAGACCAGGATACCTCAAACTCAAAGACCCACCTGCCTCTGCTTCCTGAGTACTGGGATTAAAGGTGTGAATCACCACCGCTTTTGGCAAGTCTTCCATTCTTTCTAGTCCCTGTCCAGCTCTTTCCTTCCTCCTGTTTTCCCATTGTGACCAAGGCTTCAGAAAAAACAAACAAACAAAAAAAAAACCCCAAAAACCAGAACTTGGAAGGTGAGAGCTGAGTCAGTAGAGGGCAAGGACAGAAATACTCTGTATTCACCACACAAAGGTGGGGACATCAAAGAGAAAAGATGGCCACACATGCCTATGGGGCCTTAGGCCCATTTGTTAGTCTTTCCCTGGAAGGCAAGTGCCACACGATAGGAATTGACTGGGTGATGGGACAAGCTATTGATCTAGATCAAAGTCACTGTGGTGGAGTGCATGTGGGGGGGAGGGAGATGTCAGGATTGATCGGAGCAAGGACACATGGAACATGCCTGGGGACTGATAGAAACTGTCCTCCCACCCCCCCTACACTTCCATACAAATCCCCCACCCTCCATACAGCTATAACTTGGGCTAGCTTCTACCACAGTGAATGAAACATCCGCCTGCCAAATGATGCTGCATAGACTCAATTCTCTCCAAAAGAAAAAGAGAGAGAGAGAGAGAGAGAGAGAGAGAGAGAGAGAGAGAGAGAGAGAGAGAATCAGGTTGAATTCCTGTGAAGGAATAGCCTTGAAGAAACCAGCCCAGGAGCTCTGGTGATAAAAAAGAAAGGAGGAAGGAAGGAAGGAAGGAAGGAAGGAAGGAAGGAAGGAAGGAAGGAAGGAAGGAAGGAAGGAAGGAAAAACTGCAGAAAAAAGGGGGTCCTGAGGGATGCAGGCCACTTCCTGGCAGAAGCAACTCCCTCTTGCTTGCCATCTAAAAGCCTTAGTTTCAATTTAACCAGGCAAGAGAAGCTGTTATTCTTCTTGTGTGGAGCCCATACTGAATGAAGCCTGCAAGTGAAACAGCTTTTCTGTTCTGGACACCCAATGATAACTTGAAGAAGGTTGCCTAAAGGACATGAGAAGGAGACCAGGCACGAGAGATGGAAAAGTAGCAGCGCAGACTTTCAGAAGTTCCCCGTGGCTACTGCTCACAGTACTAGAAGCTGTGCAGTTGGAGTCCCCTGAGAAGACTGAGCAGTCTCGTGGGAGAGATCTGGAGTGGTTAGAAGTTTGCTTGGAAAGGGAGAAAATAGCATTTGCAAACCCCTAACCCTACACCCAGAAGGTCCTGGGCAGCTCAGATGGCACCGAGGGGCAGGTGGCAGAGCCACTGAGGAGCTGTTGACACTGGTGATCCTCTGGAAGCTGGTGCTGTCACAGAACAGCGTGAAGCTTCATATGGGAGCTTAAGGAAGTGGTGAGTGCCCAGATGTGAGTCTGTGCCCAGTGTTCTTGCTGTAGGCAAACATGATCCAGCAGACACCGGACACGGTGGAAGAGGGGTTGTGGCAGAGATGACATGAAGGACGGAGGAGCGAGAACGTGTTCTGGGAGGGAAAGAGCAAGGGTGCCCTTGAAGAAGATGGGCTCCCATCCGTACATGACTGGGCTCTGGTTTGTCTTCCTGACCTTTCTTCACAGTGGGGAGAAAGGCAAATCACTATGGAAGCTCACCTACCTGCTTCTGTGTGATATGTTTGATATTGGGTTGTTAAATCAGGAACCAACTAAATGTCAAACATATTCTCACAGCAGTGAGGAGACGTGGCACCACCCCCTCTGCTACTTCAGTCCCTGGGGTTCTCAGACTTTTGCCTGTCTTCTTCTTCTTTTTTTTTTTTGTCTTTAGACAGGGTCTCTATGTAGCTATGGCTGTCCTAGAACTCACTATGTAGACCAGGATGGCCTTGAACTCACAGAGATTCTCCTGCCTCTGCTTACAGGTATAAAGGCATGTGCTACCATGCCCTGTGCTTGTAGTCTTTTGTTTTTTGGGTTGTTTTGTTTCTTGAAATGTTGGCAATTGGGTCTAAGGACCCACAGAGTCTAGACAAGTGCTCTACCACTAAGCTGTAGCCATAGTTTGTCTGTCTGTTTACTGAATTTCTCTCCACAATTCCCCTGGAAGAGAAATAACTGGCACCCATGTTAATCTTTCCCTGGTTCTTTTAGTTCCCTATCCCCTTTCCTTGATTGGCCTCGGAAGTAGGAGTGCTTAGCTTCCTTGCTTTTCTCCAACAGTTAGCAGATGGTCTATGGAGCAGTCTGCTCCTAATGTGGAGGCTCCCAGGAGTGAGACCGCTCTGCCCTGCTCCCACCCGGATGCTTGACTCAGTTACCACATGGCTGCGGTTTAACCTTCACACTAACTGTCCTTGACATTATGAGCTAATTAGAAAGAACCATTTCTATTTTCCCCTCGCTAGCTCTGGTCACCTTGAACAGTGTCCACTTCTCTGGCATATCTGGGTATATGGCAACTGTGTATGGGATCAATTGCCACCTGTCGATAACAAGAGTCCAAGTGGAATTATGAACATGGCTGGCACTACACTTGGGAAAATAGAGCTGGTGGGGATGATTATAATGGCATGGTGGGCAGTAGGCTGGGCAGGGCTTTACACAGGCAGCAGTTGAAAAGAAGGAGCAGAAAGCAGCGCAGACTTTGAGGCATGTTTAAGAGCATTATGAGAAAACAGAAGTTGTGATCTTGTACCGTGACTCTCCTTATTTCTCATCCCACTCGAAGCCCTAGGAGAGCCTTTCAGATCCCAAGCCTTCTGCGCTGTCCTATGGCTCGTACAGGCTCATGTCTCCCCACCAATTAGAGAATCCCAAAATAGCACAGCAATTCCAACTGGCAATCTAGGGGAATTGTCAAGGGCCAAGAGTGACCTCCTCTCTTCACTGTTGCTCACACTCCTTAAATACCAGGAATCAAAAGATGAAGCTCAACCAGTAGAGTCTGGTCCATATCCAATACAGCCCAGGGCAGGAAGAGAGAGCTGAAGACAGCTAGGACCCTCTGATGGCTAGTGCTGCCTAAGAATTCTTTCATTCAGCATTCTCCCCTCCTGTTCCTCCGCTTTTGAAAGTCCCACAGAGCTGCCAAGAATGAGTGGAAAGTTTCAAGGTCAGCCTCCCACCACCCCCACTTTCCATTGTCTAAAATCATCCTCAGCTGTCCCTCAATATTTTTTTCTTGCTGGTGATGTCAGTCTATCAATGCGTGTGACCCTGGGCTCCCCCACAAGAACAACGATGGGGCAGGAGGGAGCTAGAAAGACCATGTTAGGAATTGGAGGTGGAGCCATGACAACAGATAAATGTCCAAACTTGGGGAGCATCTCGTCACTCGGGTGGCAGCCTCTTCATCCTTCAGTGCTCACAGGTGAGCCTACAACAGCCACAGCTCAGGATGGAGGCCATCAAGAAGAAGATGCAGATGCTCAAGTTAGACAAGGAGAATGTTCTGGACCGGGCTGAGCAAGCTGAAGCTGAGCAGAAGCAAGCAGAAGAAAGAAGCAAACAGGTGGGCACTGGCATGGTCCTTCCTCACTGGTTACAAAAAAGAGGGGAGCATTTAACCCCGCACTCAGGAGGCAGAGACCAGCCTGATCTACACAGCAAATTCCAGGACAGCCAGAGAGAGAAAAAGTAAGAGCAAGGAGAGAGAGAGAGAGAGAGAGAGAGAGAGAGAGAGAGAGAGAGAGAGAGAGAGAGAGAGACATGGGAAAATGGAGGGACAGAAAACATCTAGGGCAGTGGTTCTCAACCAGCAGTAGCTCACGACCCTGCTGGATTTCAGAGGGGCTGCCTAAGACCATCAGAAAACGCATTACCATTCATAACGGCAGCAGAAAATTTTATGGTTATGAAGTTGCAATAAAATAATTTTATGGTTGAGGGTCACCACGATATGAGGAACTGCATTGAAGGTTGAGAACCACTACTCTAGGGTATCCACCTTAGACTGTCCACATGACCTTGAGAAAGCTGGTGGCCTCTTCGGTGCCACAGTGTGTCTGCTGACTTAAGCAGAAGTAGACCATGTTTTTGAAGAAAGTGTGACTTCTAGAGCAAAAGGTAAGACAACGATCCTTTTTTTGCCTCCCTTCAATAGCATCACTGACATCTTCCCCGCTAAATGTTTACCATCCAACAGACTTGGTCATCTTAGGGCCAGGGTCTGACGTCAAGCCACAGCCTAACACACGGAACAGTGGCTGCAGAAAGTGTGTCTCTCTGGGGGGTATGATAACATGGAGGCCGAGCTCAGCGGTCTTAAGAGTCCAAACATGCATGCTTATGTTTATGTCTCTGTTACTGTTCGGGCTGCTGCAGCTAGAGGATGAATTAGCAACTATGCAGAAGAAGCTGAAAGGAACAGAAGATGAACTGGACAAGTATTCTGAAGCTTTAAAAGATGCCCAGGAGAAGCTGGAGCTAGCAGAGAAGAAGGCGGCTGATGTAAGTTTTTATGGACTTGGCTTCCTTACAGGTTCACAGGCTGTGGATGCATAGCCAGCATGATGCTTTTGCATGTACTACATGCTGGCATGCTCTTCTGTTGGAATATACTTTCTTACTCAAGGGCATATTGAAGCTGAGAGCATAGTTCAATGATAATACTGCTTTCCTAATATGTATGAATCCCTGGGTTCTATGTCATCACTGAAAAAAAAAGAGACATATGAAGTCTCATTTCTGTACTACCCAACCTCCTCCCCAGTAATCTAATGACCTTTCCTAGGACCTGGACCAAGGGAGGGGCTCCCACGTCCCGATGCATGCTATCAGATATCCACTTCCTCCCCCATGCCACATTGTTAGCTTTTGTGTACAAGGCTTGGCATGTGCGTGTGTGTATTAATAGGGAAGCTCTCATCTCTCAATTACCCAACAAAGGCAGCTTCAGTTTCACAATAGGAAATGGAGGTCACATTGACCCTGACCCTATATGGGTTCGTTTGTCCTGGTCAAGGTGGGTACCTGCCCTTACGCCACAGAGATGCTACAGGGAACGCTGTTCATCAGAGAGCAGTGAGGTATCAAGGGTGGATTAGACCAGAAACTAGGAAGCAGGCAAATATATTTTCCTCGACCTTATTTCATGGCCCTGAATAGATCACATAGTTCTTTAGGGCTTTCCCCTCTAAAATTGAAATTAGCTGCCTTCACCCACTGCCTGTTCTAGTCCAGCACCTACTTCCTTCATCCTCAGCCTTGATGTTGTCGGCATGGAAACAAGAGCCCACAGAGGACCTCTGCTCTGAAGAAAAGTAGCAGAGGACTGTCTACTCATTTATTACTATTATTTTTGGTTTTTCAAGACAGGGTTTCTCTGTGGTTTTAGTGCCTATCCTGGAACTAGCTCTTGTAGCCCAGACTGAGTCAGAGAAATCCGCCTGCCTCTGCCCCCCGGTGCTGGGATTAAAGGCGTGCGCCACCACTGCCTGGCTATTATTTCTTATTTGGGGTGCTGAGGATTAAATCCAGTGCCCACCAACGCTGACCTAGCTCACGGGGACCTTGGAAGTCATGAAAGAGTATGTCAGTCACACAGGCATTTCTCAGCATCTGGCAAGGAGAAAAATAGAAGCCGATCTTGTTTAAAATCACATTTGCTGTTGGAAAACAGCTTAAAGGACAGAAGTGGTGAGTTCTGGGACAACCAGGGCCATATAGAGAAACCCTATTTCAAACAAATCAAAAAAAGTGTGTGTGGGGGGATTGTTGAGACAGAAGCAGGAAGAAAAGTATCTTTTCCCAGAGTTCCATCTGTGAGTATAGCCCTGCCACAGCCTGGTTCTGTAAGTAGAGTTTTATTAGAAAGCATCCATGCTCTTTCATTTACACATTGTCTAGTGGTTCTTTCCCTCCAATATAATAATTGCCGCGAAGTTCGTATGACCTGCAAAGCCGGAAGTTCTATCTGGCCCCTTACTGAAAACCTGCTGACTCTTCATTGTAAGTACAAGAAAGTAAGTAGGGTGTGTATAGGAACTGGGAAGAGACTGAGATTTCAGTAGAGAGCGAGGATCATAAGGTGCTCGTCTTTGTGGAGAGGGTGCTTTGTCTAACACAGAAAAGGCTCACAGCTCAGCTTCTGACCTCGAGATTAATAAATAAGTAAGCAGGGTATTATCTTGATGTGACTGTATAAGGGAGAGAGAGAGAGCCAATAACCCCATGTTTACAGTGGTACTTTTAGTTATCTGAGGAACCTTTCTGAGTGTATAGGATTTTCTAGGGCTGCTTGAACAAAGAAAGGGCAAAGATGTGGCAAGGTCAGCCCAATCTTGCGGGTTTTCTTCCCAGAGCAGTGGTGGTGCACACCTTTAATACCAGCACTCGGCAGCTGTGTCTGTTTACATTTTTCTGTAACCATGTGTAGTATTGCTTTGTGCATGTATGGATGTGTATGTGAGGGGGTGGAGGCAGAGTCTCTCACTGAACCCAGAGTTCACTGATTAGCTAGGCTAGTGGGCCAGCAAGCCTAGGATCTACCTGTTTCTGTCCCCCAGCTCTGGGACGGCAGGCGCACAGAGCCACACCTGGCTTTTGTGGGTGCTGGGGAACTACATTCAGCTCTTCAGGCTTGTATAGCACATCCTCTTTCCAACCCATAAGACCCTCTTAACCCAAGATGAAATCAGAAGCTGTTTAGGGAGAAACAAGAGGAAAGAGGAATGCAACGGGTAGGACGTAGGACACGAGAGTCATAGCACCCTTTTTTTAGGAACACATGTTGGGAGGGATGAGGAAAGAGAACAGGGATGGACAGAGACACCTGTTGGTAGGTTGTATTGTTTGTCACCAGGAAAACAATAGCACTGTTTGGTCTCCCTCCTGCCAGTCCGGCATGCCTTTAAAAGCTTGGGGAATCTACCCATCTGCTTCCCTGGATCAAGAGATTATCTGTACGCGCCTCAGGAACGCAGAGCAGAGTTGGCTCAACTTTTTAGTTTGCCTAGGATGAGGTCTAAGGGTACAGGGAGGTTAAACAGCGCCTCCTGCTGGTCAGCACTCAGATGATAAACTTTTCACCAGCAACTCCGCTGAAGAGACTTAAAACAAGCTTAAGAAATACTTAGGTCATCAAGACAGCTATAACCGAGTGTCAAAACTGGGCTTCTCGGTGGGAATCGATCTGTACAGGAGATACTCTACTGAGAAAATTACTGCTTGTCCAAGTTGTTTCTTCTGCATAGTTTCATTGTCGAGCCGTCTTCTTTTCTTTCCAAAAGGAAGGGAGGTACCTGAGAACCAGATCACGCAGAGAGAGCAGTTAAGTGACTTGCTGAGCCCAGAGCCTCCCCAGAGCTAATCCCCCAAGCCCAATGTTAACAGTTTTAGTTCCAAGTCCTACTCCATAGTTCCCATTGCTCAAGGAAAGAGAAGAGTTCTAGCAGAGCAGGAATTTATGGTTGTTTCTTTCCAAGAAGACAGGAGAAATAAAGATAGGCTGTGATAGTCCACACCTGGAAGTTCAGCACGTAGGAAGCTGATGAAGAAGGGTCCAAAGCCCAAGACCAACCAGGGCTACAAAGATGACATGAAGCCAACCAGGACTCCCTGAAACACCATCTCAAAAACCGAAAACAAAGCAAGCAAGCAAAGAAACTAAACAAATAAAAACTAGAGTAGCAAAGAGAAAATAAAGAAAACCTCTTTACAGTTGTGTATCCAGAGACACTGTAGGTAGGGCCTGTAGACACAGATTTTAGTTCCTTGGAGCAACTGAAAGCTGGATAAATCTGATGAAAGGTATTACGGTTTAGAGGTTAAATTCCACAATGGTGTCTCAGATATTTATAACTTACTGCTGCGCCAAGGACATAACATAGGGGAACAATAATAAGGATTTTTTATGATAGAATAGAGACATTAATAATCTTGTCTACAAAAGGGGTTGTAACTGGTCATGCAGACAGATGCTCAAAGGCAGCAGGAGCTGGGCGGTGGTGGCGCACACCTTTAATCCAAGTACTTGGGAGGCAGAGGCAAGCAAATTTCTGAGTTTGAGGCTAGCCTGGTCTACAGAGTGAGTTCCAGGACAGGCTCCAAAGCTACTGGGAACTATGTCTATCTAAAAAAAAAAAAAAAAAAAAAGCAACAGGAAACAAGCCTGGTATTCTAAACAGAACACTAAAATTCACACCTGACCTTAGAGAATGCCAACTTGCTCTTCTCTCCCACCCCTCTAGTTCCTTTATTGACTTCCAGGAGATGGGAGAGATTTTTATCTGAACAGTTTTGGGTTTTGAGACAGGATTTTAGGTAGCTCAAACTAGCCTTGAATTCACCACTTAGCCAAGGATGACCTTGAATTTTTTTTTTATCTGTCTCCACCCCCTCTTTCTACCCCCCAGTCCTAAGGTTACAGATACTAGCCCTCCGCTATTCCAGTTTCCACGCTTCTGGGAGCCCAGGGCTTCGTGCATGCTCGGCTAGTGCTCTACAAACTGAGCAATAGCCACAGACCCTATGAACAGACTTTTAAGGGAGCTCCCTGGGATTCTTTGCAGGATGAAGTCTAGAGTCTTTTGGCTTTTCCCAGAACCTGGCTTTGGAGTCTGTCGTTGAGTAAGATGAAAGCTGTGGGCTATTTTATATTGCAGAGAGGACACACAGAAGAAAGGGGTCAACTGCGGAAGTATAAAGACAGCACCATACTTGTAAATGGGCCAACCATTGTTGGGAGGCAGCCTGGTGGGTGAGGCTAGACCACGGCGCCTCTCAGTTACTATGGTAGCCTTACCCAACCCCGCCCCCCTTTACTGGTCTGAGGAAAGACCGCCCTGAGCCGTCACCTAGGGCGACTGGGAGGCTCCACCCTCACTTTCGCCCGCGCCCCTCGAGTGGACTGCCTTCCCGCCGGCTTGGCAGGGGAGGTAGGGAACGCGCGGTGGCAGGCGTCACATCCGGGCGGGTGGGTGAGTTCCGGTATTTCAGGGCGGAGCAGGCGGAAGTAGGGTGAGGAGCGGCTCCAACGCCGAGCAGAGGAGGTAGGACCCCGAATTCCAGAAGCAGCTGGGTGGGCACCATGGCCGGGATCACCACCATCGAGGCGGTGAAGCGCAAGATCCAGGTTCTGCAGCAGCAGGCGGATGATGCCGAAGAGAGGGCCGAGCGCCTCCAGCGGGAAGTGGAGGGAGAAAGGCGGGCCCGGGAGCAGGTACGCGGAGGGCGAGGCGCAGCAGGGAAGGGACGGCGCCCCTCGGCTGTGGAGCTCAGCTCCACGGCGTCCTAGAGGCCCGGGCTAGGCGCGGAGCCCCGAGGTTGGGTGGGACTCGATTACGATGGCCCGGTAAGCGAGCACGGAGGAAACTAGGTGCTCACGCGAGCAGGCTGCACCCTGGAAAGAGCGGAGCCCCGCACGGCGCAGGCTGCCCCCCCCCCCAGCTCATTCATTCGGTCCCTCGGCGCCGGGTGCGGCTAGGGGAGGGGCTCAGCGGCCTTTCCCT